ATCTTACATGACTTCACCTTGACATGATTGCATGCCTCCAAATCCTATTACAAATAGGAACAAATTTCAAATGTTTCAGGTGCCCATGAATTTTGGTGGAAGACTGTTTAACCCAGTAAAGAAGCCAGGTGCTTTGGAGATTCCATTTCCTTCTGACAGTCATGTTATTGATTTTATTCTACTCTAAAGATACAGTATAGTTGGAGACAAGTCATAAATTTACAGAGTCATTAGGAACCTCAATAGTCATTAGCGTCCTGTCTGTTGCTAGCCTGCATTGTTAAGGTGTCAACATCTCTGTTGTTACTCTTCTGTCAGGATTCCTAACAAAGCAGAGCAGCTACAGACATCTGCTAGTTTACAATAGAACACTGAGATGTCAAAGTGCTGTTATTTTTCTAGAAATTAAAGTTCAAAGAAGGTGAGTTATCTTATGAAGGTCAGAGAGCTAGCAAATGGCACTGCTAGAACTGCTAGACACCTTGTGTCTCCTAAATTCCATTATACCCATTACAGAATATAGGAGCAAAATCTAATATCATTGCTTTCTGTGCAGATAAATTTAAGAATTGTGAGGGGAAAATAATTTTGGACTCCTAGGCGCAAAAGAGACAATAAAATTTCACATTGTTGTATTAGCAAGATACCCAGCACAATGTTATTATTATTTTTATTTGGAATAATAAAAACATTGTTATTATGCTTTCATGGTAGAATATGACATAAGCCCCCCACCCAGCTATCTTGAAAGTTTATCATGGAAAGTATTTCTAATTATTTAGTATTTATACAAGGTGATTTCTGACTATAAGAACCATACATAAGAGTAGATGGCAACTTAAGACTTGCTCTATTGCTGTCACAATAACAGTGCATGTTTGCTGAACGTTTAGGACATGCTCTGTTCACCTTTGTTCTAGCTGCTTTAAGTGCAATTAAATTGTAATCATACAGCTCCACAAATTAAGTAGTATTATTGTTTCTATTATGTATGCAAATAATAGGATGAGGGCAAAATATTTTATTAAAGAGCCAAGTTAGAAAGTCAATCTGGCTCTAGAGCTCACACTTTTAAAAAACTATTTATTTATTTATTCATTCACTCATTCATTTATTTATTTATTACAATTTATTCACTTTTCAGATTCTAATTCCCTATTATATCTTTCAGATCTCCAGAGTCTCCACTTGGAATTCCCCTGAAGCTATGATTAAGTGCCACAGGTACAAGCCTTAGGGCAGAAAAGGAAAAAGGGCCATATGTAGAAAATCGGTGAGAGAAGCTGCTGATGGAGCTTTTAAAAAACAATCAATAAATGGGACCTAATGAAACTGAAAAGCTTCTGTACAGCAAAGGACACTGTCATCAGAACAAAATGACTGCCTACATGGTATATACTAACTTATATAGACCTATAAGATAGAATAAACATACTAAAATATGTACACCTAAAGAAGATAAACAAGAAAGAGGTCCAGGGGTATGATGATCAATCCTCATCTAGAAAGACAAATGGGATGGACATTTGAAATAGGAGAAAACAAGTAACAGGACAGTAGCCTACCACAGAAGGCACCTGAAAGACTTTACCTAGCAGTGTATCAAAGCAGATGCTGAGACCCATAACCAAACCTTCGGCAGAGTGTAGGGAATCATATGAAGGAAGGAAGGAGGAATTAGTATATCCTAGAGGGGACAGCAAGCCCCACAAGGTCCAAATATATCTGAACACAGGGGTCTTCTATGAGACTGTTTATCCAACCAAGGACCATGCATGGATATAACCTAGAACCCCTGCTCAGACATAGCCCATGGTAGCTCAGTATCCAAGTGGTTTCCCTAGTAAGGGGGACAGGAATTGTCTCTGACATGAACTCGTGAGTTTCCCCTTCCCCCTGAGGGAGGAGCAGCCTTGCTAGGCCACAGATAAGGACAGTGCAACCATCCTGAAGATACCTGATAAGCTAGAGCCAGATGGAAGGAGAGGAGTACACCCCCTCTCAGTGGACTCTGAAGGGGGCAGGGAGGAGACGAGGGAGGGAGGGGAGGATTAGGAGGGAAAGAGGGAGAGAGCTACAGCTGGGATACAAGTGAATGTATAAAATTATTTTTAAAAAATATTAATAAAAAATAAAATATTCTTTGAGTACCAAAAGCAAAAATATATAATTAAATAAAAGATTTGCAATAAAAAAAACAACTCAAGAAGTTAAACAGTAACAAATCAAGTAATTCAATTAAAAAATGGAGTACAGTGCTAAACAGAGAATTCTCAATAGAGGAGTATCGAATGGTAGAGAAACACTTAAAGAAATGTTCAATGTCCTTAGTCATAAGGGAAATGCAAATCAAAACGACCCTAAGATTTCACCTTACACCCATCAGAATGGCTAAGATGAAAAACTCAAGTGACAACACATGCTGGAGGGGTTGTGGAGAAAGGGGAACCCTCCTCCACTGCTGGTGGGAATGTAAACTTGTACAACCACTCTGGAAATTAATCTGGCACTTTCTCAGACAACTAGGAATAGCGCTTCCCCAATATCCAGCTATACCACTCCTAGGCATAAAATCAAAAGAGGCTCAATTACACAATAAGGACATTTGCTCAACCATGTTTGTAGCAGCTTTAGTTGTAATAGCCAGAAGCTGGAAACAACCCAGATGCCCCTCAGTTGAGGAATGGATACAGAAATTGTGGTACACCTACACAATGGAATACTACTCAGCAATAAAAAACAATGAAATCATGAAATTTGCAGGTAAATGGTGGGATCTGGAAAAGATCATCCTGAGTGAGCTATCCCAGAAGCAGAAAGACACACACGGTATATACTCACTCATATAGACATATAATATAGGATAAACCTACTAAAATCTGTACACCTAAAGAAACTAATGAAGAGGGAGGACTCTTGCTAAAATGCTCAATTCCTATCCAGAAAGGCAAAGAGAATGGACATCAGAAGAAGGAGAAAAGAGGGAACAAGTCAGGAGCCTGACACAGAGGACCTCTGAAAGGCTCTGCCCTGCGGACTATCAATGTAGATGCTGAGACTTATAGGCAACCTTTGGGCAGAGTGCAGGGAATCTTAGGAAAGAAGTGGGAAACAGTAAGATCTGGAGAGGACAGGAACTCCACAAGGAGAGCAACAGAACAAAAAAATCTGAGCACAGGGATCTTTCCTGAGACTGATACTCAGATCTCCATGCATACTCCAACCAAGAACTATGCATGGAGATAACCTAAGACCCCTGCACAGATGTAGCCCATGGCAGTTCAGTATCCAAGTGGATTCCATTGTAATAGGAACAGGGACTGTCTCTGACATGAACTGATTGGCCTGCTCTTTAATTACATCCCCCTGAGGGGGAAGCAGCATTACCAAGCCACAGAAGAAGACAATGCAGCCACTCCTGATTGAGACCTAATTGACTAGGATCAGAAGGAAGGAAAAGAAGTCCTCCCCTATCAGTGGACTTGGGGAGGGCCATGCAGGCAGAGGGTGGAGGAAGGGAGTGATTGGAACAGGAGGAGGGAGGGAACCACAGGGGGGATACAAAGTGAATAAAGTGTAATTAATAAAGAATTTTAAAAAATAATTTAAGAAATAAACAATAAAACAAAAAAACTTATTTATTTATTTATTTATTTATCTATCTATCTATCTATCTATCTATCTATCTATCTATCTATCTAT